CTAACGACTCAAGATAGACGTCTTAGCCTCCCCCACTACCTGAGAAGTTTTAATTGATGCCTTCTTTGAGAATTTTTTCCCTGTGTATGGCCAAGAGAAGAAGGAGGAGGAATTTTAGGACCTTTATCGAGGGAACATAACTGTCAACCAATATGTAGCTCGGTTCACCTAGTTGTCTCAGTTTGCCACTTTGTTAATGACCCCAAAAAGTTGTAAAGCTTGAACATTTTTAAAGGGTCTCTGTGGATCAAGTGGCAATGAAATTTGAGGTCATGCCCTTCAGATTGACTAATGCCCCTATCACATTTATGGACTTGATGAACCGAGTCTTCGGACATGCACTGAATTAGTACGTCATCAGTTTTTTTGATGATATCCTAGTGTATTCTAAGAATTATGAAGAACATGCAGATCATTTATTCTGTGTGTTAGAAACCCTCCATTGGCACCACTTGTACATCAAGTTCAATAAGTGTTCTCTTTAGCTATATCGAATTTCTTTCCTCGGTCATGTGATTTTTGGTGAAGAAATTTATGTCAACCCCTCCAAGGTTAAGGCTATTATCAATTAGAGTTAACCGACCAATGTTGCTGAAGTTTGTAGTTGCTTGAGATTACCCAGCTTCTATGGATGTTTCATTGATTGTTTCCCAAGATTGCAGCCCTCTTGACTTGCCTTACTAGTAAAGGTATAGTTTTTGTTTGGGATAATTGTTGTGAGAATAGTTTTATTGAGTTGAAATACAGCTTCTTTTGTGCCCTGATATTGATTCTCCCTGAAAGTACTAGACGGTTTTCGATTTTCTGTGATGCATTTCCTATAGGTTTGGGATGTGTACTCATGTAGCACGATCAGGTAGTCGCTTATGGCTCCAGACAACTAAAGCTTCATGAGTGCAACTACTCCACTCATGACTTGGAGCTGTTGTTGTTGCTTCACCTTGAAAATATCATCATTACTTGTATGGTTAGACGTTCAAGATCTACACGGATCATAAGAGCTTGAAGTACTTGTTCTCTTAAAGAGAGCTAAATATTAGGTAGAGACGTTGGATCGATCTCTTGGAGGAGTATGATTGCAAGATCCTCTACCAGCACAGTGAGGGAAACGTGGTCATTGATGTATTAAGTCATAATGAATTTGCTATATTGGCCTAGATGATGACTTCCAGTTGGAAATTGGTTGAAGTAATGTAGTCCCTTCATATGAATTATTATGGCAATGGTGTTTATCTTACCCAAGTTTAGGATCTGGTAAGTTTACATATGATGAGTTTCCTGATTTCAAGATCACTGATGATGGTCTGTACTGGTTTCATAATCATGTTTGGGTACTAGCGGTAGTTAAGATGGATGTTTTGAAGGCAACGCCACATTCCGGAGAAAGTGACATGGAAATTAGAAAAAGAAATGCATTCTTCAATTTCCTCACTTTTTTGTATCAAATTTAAAGGACCAAAATTTTTAAATATAGGGGGAATGTAACGCCCCAACACCTTTGTACTTAAATGTGGTTTCGTAAAATGCCTATTTATTCGGGCCATAGAGCCATTAATTACTTTATTTGATGTTTTAATTTCCATATATTCTAGAAATTTACTTAAAATTATTCTCATTTTATTAAAATTATTTTATTTATGTACTTTATAACTAAATTTTAATTTTCAGGAAAAATGGAGGAAAAATGGGAGAGAAAATCCATCAAAAACTATAAGAAAAATCCCTGCCCACGCAGGTCCCTGAGCGCTGCATGCATGCACGCCCATGCACGGCTAGCTAGATATGTGCAACCGACCATACAGCGAGTGAGGTGCACAGTTTGTGCATGGCTAGATCATGCAGAGACGATGCACAGCTCTATGGTCACAGTAGGCTTTGGGCAGTGCATGCCACCGTTGGATGGTGAGCTGCCGTCGTTTGGGAGGCATGCACCGCCCTTGGCTGACATGCCCTTGGCCTTTGTGCCAAGCCATCGCGTCATCGTTGTCTCGTTGGCTCTCTAACAGTCACATCCATCAATTATCGCATCGCTTTGATCTTTTCCCTCTCTCTCCTCATGGATTTGTGCCACTTCGTGAAAATTTGACACCCCATTTTATCTATAAATAGGGGCCCTCTCCCCATCATTTCTTCACACTTCCTCTTCATATTTACTTCCTTAAAAAATCTCCTACAGAGAGAGAGAGAGAAAGAGAGACTTGGGGAAGAAGGAAAGAAAGAAGAAGAACATAGGAAAATCTTCAAGTTTTAGTAAAAAAATCTTGTTATTTTCTGGTACATTTTAAGGAGTACTTTTAGATAAATTAATTTGAAATATTGCATGATTAATGTGAAATAGTAATTGTATGTTTTACTAAATTTTAAAGTTTGAAAACTAAATTGTTAAATGATATGACTATGATAAAATATAAATGATGCATGAGATATCATGATATTTGCATCAAGACGCATGAATATATTATGAAAATAGACATTTAGGTTAAACACCATAACATTTATTGCATGGCATTTAAAATGATATAATCTGTTAGCTATAATCTTTGAGTGGCTATATTTCTTCCCCATCTGGTCTAAAAAAATGTGAGAGGACTTGTGGATGACGACATATCCTCTAATGAGAGTGGTTACGCGATATTATTATAAGGCCACTGTGGTGATGTATGGCTGTCATTATGATTTATATGTAGGACCATTGTGGTTGGCACAACAAAGATCATAAAGCGTGTCATGGTTGGGCAAGCCCTAAATGTGTTATGGTTTAGCAAGCCATAAATGTGCTGAAATGAAAAAAACTTTGTCATTTCAAAGTGGTAGTTGGAAATCTGTATTACCCTCAATAGGTATTGATAAGAACAACTACGCTAGAAGGATAAGTAAAAGATGAAATAAGAAGTCATAGCATGATTTATACTTGTTTGATTTTCTCTATTCTATGCATGATTGATATGAATGTCTTGATGTTAACAATTTTATAAAAAAAATAAAAAATGTTTCCCTTATCAATGAAATAAACTCACATATAACAATCTTCGATGGTAAGCAATTAATGGTATATTTCTTTAAATATTTAGCACCTTTAAAATTTTAATAATGTTGTTTAAATACTATTTTCCTCACCGAGTTTATAAAACTCATCCCTTTCCATGCCCCCACAAATGAGGATAATAGTGAGGACCCACTTATTGATTTACCAATCGAAGCCTTTGAAGATCTCGTGGATCCATGAGATGTTATGAATGCCTATTTTTGTTCCGCACTCCGATGAGTCCAATTTGGAAGGAGGCTTGTATATTATTTTTGTCAAACTTTTGGCCTTAGTGATGTAAAATTTAGAACTCAAATTTTTACTTGTAAGGGATTGTAATATTTATTCTACTGCATTAAATATATTTTAATGCACTCATAATTTATTTCTATATTCTGGCTCCCTTGTGCTATTTTTAGTATTGGGGATATAAAAAAATCCATCTAAAGTGTGCAGATCTCCCTTAAGTCTTCCTTGGTCGCCAACTTCATTTTTTATGCTCACAAAATCCCCTCCCTTTTCAAAAATAATTTATCCTTAAATCGAACACTTCTTATGTCGAGGATTCACCAATTCTGGTTTCTTTGAGAAAATTTCATTAGTTGGGATGTTGTATAAGATCATTGCAAAAATTTATAAGGAATGGTTAGTAAAGAAAATAACACTCTCTCATGTGTTTCACTAAACCTCCTTCCTTTAGGTTGAACGTCCTTAAATAAAGATAATCAAGTTTCATTTATGACACTTCAAGGAATCCTAAAGAAAGAAAGTGGTAATACAGATGAAGATAGTGTATGTCTTATCTATGATGCTAAGTAATCAAGTGCAATTATCTACTTAGAGAAGTAATGGAACGAAAGCACAATGAAAGAAAGAAACTTAGAGTGCAAGAAAGACAATATGGATATGATATTTTTGGTTTTTGTTTTTATGCATATTAAAGGATGCAAAGAATGTTTTTCTTTAACTATAAAGAAAATATAATATCCAAAATTCTGAGCTTTGTTTTTATTTTTAAAGATTCAAGAAAAAATGTAGAAAAATAAGAATACATAAAAAAAGAACGAACAATATAAAGTACGTTAATTAAAATAAATTAATAGGGAAAATATAAATTAATTAATTAATTAATGGGTTTTATTTTAAGAAAATATCAAGAAATAAACGCAAAAAATATTTAGAAATGAACTTAACACACTTATAAATAAACATAAATATTTAGAGATTAAAAAAGGGCAAAAATGGAGTGTTTGGGGGGCCTTTTGGACATCAAAATAGGGCCTGGGGGCCTAAATGAAAAAATTTCTAGGGAGCTGGGCCATCTGCAAATTCTGAGAAACGGGCCAGATCAGCACATAACGTGTTGGTATGCCCCAATGGGCTTTGGCCACGTGGGGGATGCCAGCATGCCTGGCTTCCTAGCAACCCGTGTGTGAAGGGTCTCCTATGTGGCAATCCACGTGATAGATTGCTGAGGTGGCGATCCACGTGATTAGGGTTGATTAGTGAGGTGGCAATTTATGTGATGGATTTTCAGCTTGACAATCATGTGGAAAGGAGGGGGGGGATCAATGACTTTGATTCTCTCCTACGTGGTCAATTAAATAGTGGAGGCTCACTCCCGCTCACACACAATCTAATAGTCATGATGGAATTCTGCCCAAACACGATGGATGGCTTAGATTGAGTCTGGTTCAAAATTCAAATAGACGATTAGATTGCTTGGGAATTGATCCAGTGGTCAGATTTTGCAAATGCAAAAAGACTAAAGTACCATTAATGAATCCCTTTATCTAACTGTTGCAATTTGAGGGATTTTAATTGGACGACTGAGATTCAATCTTAGACATAAAAAGACCAATTTGCTCCTTGGTAATCTGTCCGTCAATATCTCGTTATGGAGATCTGATGGCTGATTGTGGGCATTTTAAAGTGCTATTTTAGGGTTTTCCCCTCTTATTTGTGAGAGGGGTGAGTTATAGAGAGGAAAGAGAGGGGGAGAGATCGAATGATTGCGATCTCATCTGAAGGAGATTGCCAAGATTGCGGATGGCGATCTCGACCAGAAGGAAGGCCGAACGAGATCGCACAGTGGTATCTTGATCGGGATGTGAGAAGAAGGAGATTGTATGGTGCCAATCTCCATTGAAGAGGAAAAATGTGTGCGCAGCCACCGTTGCACATGTGTGAGGAAAGCCATGTAGATCCACAACTTCGACCACTAGTATGGGTTCGTCTAAGGGATTGTGCTATGTGTTTTCTGCCGCAGGTGCTAGTGCGTGAGAGGGGGTGGATCTGCTGAAAAACCACCAGATCTGCGGATGTATGTGCGTGGTGTGTGACAGAGGTACACTTTGCACTACGAAGGTGTGAGGTAGTGGGGCTGAGTGCCTCTACTACATGCAGGGATGATTTCACCATTGCCGATGTACACACGGGTGTTGGGAATAGGAAATCTAGTTCGATTGGGCTGTAGGTTGGGCTATGCACAGGTTGATTGGTGTCGTGTTGGGGCTGTGCACGACAGATCTACAACCCAAGCCTCTTCGTCGCCACATGATGTAAGGATTTCTTATTCAATTTTCTCACTTAGCCCCGACTAGGTTTAACTAATTTTATGCATCTAGGTGTCAAATCAGATCAGTTCATCTCCCATACTATGAACTAAAAGGGTATTTTGGGAAACCTGAGTCTTCAAATCACTGTAAGTATTTAGATTGGTGCTTTTATTATTTTTGATAAACGATTAAACATATAGTCGAGTAATTAGTTAGTTAGTTTAAAATATTAAATTAATTTGTACTTAGAAATACAAATATGGAACTAATTTTAGACATGCGATTGGATTTAGATCTCGGTTCATTCACTGACCGAGATGAGATCTGTTTTTGTAGGTGAGTTCCATAGCCTTGATAGCTTGGTAAACAAAACAAATTCAAAACAACAATCAATAAATAATAGTTTCTTTATATTTGATTTCCAGTAATAGGATCACACTAATGGTTGTTTATAGATTTTTTAGGTGATTTTGGATCAGGAGAATGCTTTAGGGTCAAATCCTTTGATTTAGTTTAACAATAAGCTTCGTAAAAATTTGACTTATTAATAAAAACAATACTTTCACATGTTGTATCTTATTTTATTTTATGGTTGGTATAATTAATCATATTTTATAAAATAATTTAGTTTAATTTAGAAATAATATACATTTCAAAACAAATTTTAAATTAGGTTGTTTTGGAATCTCCTGTCCATGAGCTTGTCAACTTGTGAGCATGCCAGCTTGCGAACACACAAGGGATTCCACTTGCTAGCTTGCGGACACGCGAGAAAGCTTCCCTTGCCTTACCTGCAAGCTAGCAAGCCTACGAATTCATGGGGGATTTATGTGTCAACGTGCGAGCTCGTTTGCTCACGAACCCGCATATGGGGGAAAATCCACACGTTATCCCATGAGTAGTAATCCTGCGAGCTGTTATTTCACGAATAAGGAACCTTTAGTTTTGGCTCCAATTTTTTACCACTAAAACCCATTTATGGAGGTGTTCCAACCACTTGGTAGAGGAGGCTAACTACTTAGCCTATTGTCGAGCTCTAAACTTCTCCCCTACATGCTATCAGCCACTCTTAGACAACAATAGCGAAGATTGCTTGCATGCAATCTAAGGGCTAGCAACTATTGAAAATCCCATTCAAAACTCCCATTTGACTTCCTTCTTCCATATTTGATTAGAGAGAGAAAGAGAAAGAAACAGAAAGCTGAGAGTGAAAACAAGGAATTTGGAGTGAAATCAAAAGAGAAAATTGTGAAAAAATAGGACAAAAAATAGAGCATGCGAGGAGGATTGGTGTGAGTCTGAAGGAGGAAATTGCACTCCTTTTTAGTTAATGTAAGCTTTAATCCTTTTCTATTACACCCTTTCTTCTTTTTTTAGTATCTAAATACATCTTACGTAGCTATAAAAACCTTGAAAACTATAGCAAGCTTGGGCCCGAAGCATTCCTTCTGCTGCACCTGAACACGCAGACCGAATAGGTAATCTTGCTATTTCCCTTCCAATTTCATTTTTGTCTTCAATTCTTTTTCCATTTCAAGTAGCTAACAATTAGATTAAGATATTAAGAGCCTTAAGAAATAATTTTAGCAATAAAACCACTCTTAAGAACAAAAACTAATCAAAAATTCACAATTAGTTCTACAAATGCTACCCATACGAGTTGCAAAACAACTTTCTAGTTTTAGATTCCTTCCACTCGTGCGTTTGAGTTGAAGTAATCATCTTTTTTAAGGTAAGATGAATGTAATTTAGTTATTGCAAGTATTGGATTTTATACATGCATTGTGTTTGTAAAATTTACATAAATTGAAGTTGTGATGATGGTTTTAATAAAAACATGGTGTGTGTGAGTTCATGAGAGTTTTTCCATGTGTAAATTTTTTAGAATGAATTTAAATGAAAACTGGGTTGAAATTAAGTGGAGATTGGACAAGAATTGGCAACAGATGCCAAATTCCCACTACAAATTGTGCCAGGCACAAAAGTGTTGGGCTTGACAGGCACACGCAGCCCAGGTACGTGGGATTGTGCATGGGACCCTTTCCAGGCACCCAAAAGCACTGTGATAGGCCGCCTGGCATACTACGCACGTGCAGTATGCTATGTAAGTGATCACAAAGGTTCTGCTAGGCATCTGTTGGCGCCAAGAGGATTTGTGTGCGTGCGGGCATTGTGCCCACTATGGGGGAGGCGCATATACACACAGGGACGTGTGCGTGTGCCCCTATTGGACCTCAAGACATTCCCCACAGGGCAGCTACACTATGAACCATGCAAGGTGAGTCGTGCTCGCTTAAAAGTCATATGCATGCTGAGAGGCCTTTGCAAATGCATATCGTGCCACAAGCATGGGCAAGGGGAAAGTTTCCTTGGCAGACAATGGTGGAGGAAAATTTCATAATTTTGGTAATTTGAAATTAAAATCTTAAAACCGGATTAGAATTGATTAATAATAAAAATGTGTATTTGGAAAATTAAATGGAAAGAAAAATAAAATTGAAATTTCAGAATGGAGGGAAGATTAAACATAAAAATCAAAATCAAAGTAAGATTATAGGATAAATTGATAATAAAATTAATAACTTAAAAGTAACAAATAAAATCAACCTTAAAAATCTTAAATAGACAAAATTTATCAAATACACCATTACAAGTGTTATGTTACAACTTAAAATATTGGGCTAAATTAATAAACCTAAAACTTAGTCGAATAAAAATTAAAATGAAAATAAAAAAGTCAAAATTGATCAACACATAGTCTACTTAAATTCGGTTCACTTAATTTCCTTGGAGGGATAGTTGATATTATTTTTAGAACTAATAGGCTATGGGTGCTAGTTTTTGGGTTTCACATTGGAATTGGTGTTAAGTTTTCCCTAGGAATCTAAAGTGATTGATATTCATGCTCTGATGAGAGATGAATTATGGTGACCGAAGTGAAATTATGAGATATGGGGACCATAGATATATGAGAGATGGTATGTATATTTCATGTCATTATATTATGTATGTTAATTAATTGCGTAACCATTCATAGCACAGTTGGTGTCTCATTTGCCCACCTTTAAAATAGGTGTATGCTGTTGCGCACATAGGATTGTCATCAAGTAAACCTAAATTAAATTCTTAAACTATAATAAAACTTCAAAGAAGTTTCCAGTCCTATGTGTGTATGTGTTGTGTTGTCTATGGTATTGAGTGCCTTTGATTATTGAATTGGATATTCATATTAAAATATTGTTTTATGGAAAAGATATAGTACTTGGTAAAATATGGTTGAAATATCAGTGATTTATTAAATTATGCATTAATGAATGTTTCAAACATACTTGTATGGCTCTATTACCATTTTTCTTACTGAGTATTTTGGAACTAACCCCAAATCCTAATCCCCATATACTGACTTGGAGAGCCTTCTTGAAAAACCTTGCCTATATTCCTTTCAGGGAGAGTAGAAATGGAGAACATTCTTTTGTTTATTTTTTAAAAATTTAAAGGCTAATATTTATAAAATTAGATTATTTTTGCTTAATGTAAATGGGAATTGATAGCCTTATTAGCATCAGAATACAACATTTGTATATTTGTATGGGATGTGAATTTCTACTATAATGTAATTAAGTTGCTTTTGTCTGCTCTTTTAGATGTCGGTGCCCTAATTGGTATCAAGGACGTCACAGGTGGTATCAGAGCAGAATCTTAAGAACATCCTGTATAACTGGAGGTTTAAAAGTTTAAAATTGAATAAGATATGAGGGTATTCTTTAAACTAAACTTGGAGCCCTAACTAGCTTGGGGAT